AATTCAGTGCCTGCCATTGGAAAAAAAATGTATAGAGGGATTTGAGTGAAACTAAACCATATTTGCTTTACAAGGAGTTGAAACACATAAAAATCTGCTTGAAGAAAGAGTCTTTAATCTGTGATTCGTCAACCAACGTAATACAAACTGCAAAATTATATTTTAATTTTTTCCACAAATGTTCAAGTTGCTGATAGATACTTCAATTTAAGTAAATTCTATATTTTAATAATAACAAGCAATGTAATTTGTTTTAAATCTTTAATTGGTGCTTCTATTTAAGAATAATTTTCATTCATACAAATATTTAGTCTAAAAATTACTTTATAAAACACTCTTTACCAAAGCAGAATAATTATCTCTGGATTGGAATAGCCTGGTTGGTAGGGCGTTGGACTAGTGTTCGTGAGAATGGGAGTTCGGATCTATCCGGTGGAAGAATTTCAGAGTATTAAAGGGTGGACTGGAACACGGTAAATCTGTCGACGTAACAAAGTCATTTAAGTTCTCATAACAAATCAATAACTCTGGACATACTAATCTAGGAATTCCCTTGTCTTCTTCATTGGGTTCAAAATTATAAGGCTACAGGGAGGAACATTGGTAGTCGTAAACTCAAATTTAGGTTGACTGTTCAACGACGGCTATTAAATAAAACATCTATATCCAATATTTCCAGAAATTGTTCTTATCAAACACTTACTTCTGTGTGAAGCCAATACTGATAGATTATAGTAATCTGGTAATGAACAAGGAATGTAGTGGGAGGAATCACTAACGCCAGAGGCACATACGTAAGCTGCGTGAAAAAAATAACAATAATACGTAACTAAATGAAAATTTTTTAACTAAATTTTCAAAAGATAAAGAGATCGAACGATCTATTGTTTTCAAAAAAGTGGTCATAAAAGTGCCAATATTTTTTATTCAAGAATAAAAAATATTATATAAGAAAGATGCATATACAATTATATATATATACTCTCATTCACAATGTTCTACATATAAATTTTCGCTTAAATATAAAGAACAACATTTGGTGGAAGTTGATCTCACTAAAAGATCCTAGGAAGGAGGTAATAATATCAGAGGAATAAGAATTCCCATTGACTGCAATAATGCAGAGGGAGTTGCTTTACATTAAGTCCATAATTCAATCGAAATTCAGAGAAAATGCCTTGAATTTCGAATTATTTCTGGTTGGTGATAATGACTGTTCCCAGTCTACAACAATTGAGATAGGCGATCGCATAGTCATAGGCTTCTATTGGGAAGAGGCTAATTTTGTTCAAGGCGGTGAAATGCTGTTTTACCAGGAACGTGTTGAAGCATTATTTTTCTGGAATGCCATGCCCTCACTTCATTGAAAAGTTTCGCAAAAAAAACTTAAAAAATTATGATTCACAACAGTACTCGATTAATCAAAAGAAACAGAATCAATTCACCGTTTTTGGACAACAAGAGCAGTAGCTGCGAGGAAGGAACGGTGGTTGTTTCACATTTTTTCCGTTTATGTCGGCGAAAAACGACGCTGAAAGTTTGCGTGCTTACTGACCAAAAACACTAGAAAAATGGTGATAGGGAGACATAAAAGAATAATTTCGAGTTCATAGAAGAAAATTGCGTTGGTTATTATTATTTTTTTTAATATTTATTGTAATACCTTAAGTTTGACTATCAATATCTGATTTAGGAACACCCTTTGATAGTCGGGAAATAGATCATTTAAAACCTTTATTGTAACACTTGAAATTTGCCTGCCAACTTCGAAATGAAACTTACTTCACTTTCCTTTAATTCTCCAACTGATATTTTTATGAATCGTTAAACTTTTATGTTCTTGATTTTAATCTCACCTTGAATTTTACATACAGACCAGATTTTATCTACGCGACATTGTAAATCTTTATCACCCGTGATTTTCACTCTCTGAAATTTCGATATATAGGTAGGTATCATGCAGTAACACTAAGTAGAAAAGCAGTAGGTATAAATATCAACAAGATGTTATATTATTTCTTTGTTTTAAATGACACTTGCCATTTTAAACATTTTTCATTTTTCCTTACAAATGCAAAAAATAGCTTTTTTTCAATTCAAGAAATTATTTTGATTTTTATTAGAAATTATTTTAAGAAAAAGAGACGAAGAAAGTAAGGATCGGTGAAAAATAATCGCAATTATTTAGTTTAGTAATATAGTGTAATTATCATTAGGAGAGCAGTACCTGATTTATTGTTAAAAATTTTAGCCTGCCCAACTCTATGTAGGTGGGACAATTGTTGATACGTATGTTCATCACGAGACTGTGGTTGTGTTATTTACGCATTTGAAGCCAGTTATTTTGTTGAATTAATTTACAGTAAGAGAAAATTAGTTTCATATGAATACTGATTCCCTTGTTAACTACATTTGTTAATTACTACCTCTCCAAAATCACGTGGAAATCCATATTACCCTGATTTGCCTTTCTCGGCCACTGTGGTTTTTCTTGTTTTGTTTTTCATCTTTTTTTTCTCTCCTGGCTACAGTTATTTTTTTCTAGTTATGTTTCTTTTTCTTTTTTTGTCGACAACTTTATCTCTTATATTTCAAGTCACTTTTGTTTCTTCTCATTCGCGTCTGGCGAGTCTTGATAATGGGAGCCTGTTTTGAGTGCTTCAAACAACTTGATTGTTTTTCTCCTGTTGTTGTTAATTTACGTCGCACTAGAGCTGCACAATGGGCTACTGGCGATGTTCTATATTTTTGAAGCGAATGAAGTTATTATGCAAGTAGTAGTTACTTTACAAGTGTTTGAGACCGAACATAATTAATTCAAAGTTAAACATTCTTAAAAAAACTATCCACATTTTTGTGAATTTAAAAAGAGAAGCAAATGGTAATTTAAAATTCAAAATACGTTTTAAAAATGCATAATTAAGATAAATTTTGATTAAAACACATTGTCTAAACATTAAATGGTCAAATATAATTAATGATTTGTCTAAATTATTTCAATGTAACGTTAAAAATTGGCACACGTTAAGACGCCTCGTATTAAGTTTCATAATACTGAAATTTATTATATTTGTTATTGACTTCGCATTGAATTTTAAGTTCTTATTATCATATCATTAAGCATCCCATTAATATTCGATATAATGACTCTAATAGAACAATTTCCCTAATGACTTATCGAACTGTCCATTAAATTTTTAAATTCGTAAGAGAAAAAAGCAAGGAAACTGGTTGACGTTATTCCTTTTTTACTACTTTCACTATGATAATTAGTCTAAGGAAATAGTTAAAGTGGGTTAAGGAAAAATGTGTATGCAATGAAAAGTAACCTAGACCTTATTATTTATTCTTTAAATCTTATATGAATATTATGCGTAGTACATTAATGTTAGACTTTTTAAAATCAAGCTGAAGCTTTGAATTTGTCAAGATTTAGCTGCCTATAAATGTTAAAAAAAATCTCTGTTAAATTAACGGAAAAAAACTATGAACTGATGTGACAGTATAATACTGTTTATTTCACAGAATTTAAAAACGGAAGCTTGTTTTTTTTAAGCTGATTCGTTTTCTTATTTTAACAAAACTCTTTTATTTTAACACTAAAAAAAATAACTTTATAAGATGATTTTGGCTGCATTGTGTTCAGTGTGATTCGAGAGCAGAATTCGCATGCCCCGTGAACACCGGCAGGCAAGCGCTCTGCCCCCCCCCCTATCTTTAGAGTTTTTTTTAATAGTGCATTAATTTGGTTCCGGTGGCGTGTTGATATGAAGGACAATCCCTATAGTCTTAATTCAAACCCCTTCTTTATATTCAAGTCTTTAATATTCAAGTAAAATATTTTATATAGTTTCACAAGAGACATTATTTTAAACATGATCTCCATATAGTTCTATATACTCTATGTAAAGCAAACATTACGGGTAAAAAATAAATTAGTTCATAGATGTTAAGGAAAAAATTGCTGCTATGGTAAAAAATCTTAAATAGTCTAGGTAAATGAATTTTTTCCATGTTCTCGTAAGCAAGAAAAAAGTCGCTAAAAATTGTAGACCTCCAACTTCTTTTTTCAATTTGCTTTTATATATTTTTTATTTTATTTATTTTTGAAAATACTAAGCAAAATGACCGTTTATAAAAAATTAAATAACAATAAAATAAAAAAGCAATAAATTTCTTTAAAAAAAATATTGAATTTCCTTTGCCCCGTTTCACTTAAAAGTGCACAAAAATATCTTTGTTTTCAATTTTTTTGGCGAACATGGTTACAAGTGGAAAAGTTGTAAAAGAGAAGAAAAAGAGAAAAAACTTTCTTCTTCGTTAAGGTTTAACTTTTTTCTAGACATACACTTTTTCAGTGGGCATAAATAAGAAAAATAAGTAATTAATTGCTTTAAATTAAATTTTATAAGTAATTCTGCAACTAACTTCTCTTGGCAACTTGAATTTCGTTTCAGTACCAAAAACAAGCACCACCATGATGAATGTCAAATTACAGACTAAAGAAATTCTAAGCTCAAATGTTGGGTACCGAACCTTTTTTTTGTTTCAGAATTTTTTAAATAATTTTTACCTCAATTTTGACTAAGGAATTGATATTTCTGTTTGCTTATTACAACTAAATGCGCCATTTTCTTCAACGAAATAATTTTGCCAGAAAAATAAGACAATGACTCAATATTTCAAATAGCATTAAGAATTTCTTAAAATTAAGAAAAAAGGCTGTTCACGTAACAATAGTATTTTCAACACTAATTATATTTTGGTAATGTTCACAAAACATAGTTTACAGCTCTTTTTTAAAGACGTTTAGTGCTTGAATGACGCAAAAAAAGTACTAATCCCCAAAAGACCGCCAAACTGTATTGAGACCAGTTGTGCTAAATTGATTTTGGTTATTTCTAAGGGAATTTTTAAATTAAAGAACAAAGGCAGTTCAACAATAGTACTTGATATCAGTGATGCTAAATTGATTTGGATTATAGTTACTATTATGTTACTAGTGGTATTAAGGTAGTATATACTATGGAAATAGGTTTTTACTGCCCCCAAAACCGAGTAGCACCGAAAAAGTAAATAAAAAATATTTAAAGTGCTAATTCATAACAATATGTATTATAAAAACAATTTAGCAAGTTATATTTCTTTTATGTTATTCTTTTAGCCAGAATATCAAGCAATTTTGCTAACGTTGTTCTAAGGTTATTAGATTAATTGTCAATGTCGTTGCAAATTGAAATGAGAAACAAAATTAACCAGTTTGTTTATTTAATTAATAATAAAGACATTAAAAAGTTTATATTTTCATGGAAGCTATTCTATTTCTTATCTTGCTAGTTGATAGTTAATAATATCTTTATCTAGTTGTCCCGTCCTTAATTTTTTTATTTGTTTATGGTGACTTGAGCTTGTTTAATTTCTGCAGTGTATGTTCCTTTATCCCGGGTTAGCCAATCTTCTTTGGTAACTGTTCCTTTTACAGACGTTTCTTTACTTTCTGTGGTATCAGTACTTTTAGCTAGAGTTTGTTTATCTTCTTTAGTATCTGTTGCTTTTTGATGTGTTTGTTTAATTTCCGTAGTATCTGTGCTTTTAACTTGCATTAGCTTTTCCTCAGTATTTGTACTTTTATTTTGCCTTTGCGTAACTTCATCTTCATATTGTTTATTATTTTTGGCTTCCTCTTCTTCCATATCTTTTTAGTAGGACACTTAGTTTTCAATTTATTGTAAAAAAGTTACAAAAGAAATTTCAATATTTTCGAATTTTTCATTGACAGTTAGTTTGCCAATTGGATTCACCATCTATCCTAAAAAAAACAACAACAAAGAAACCCTACCGGAAGTTTTGAGGTCCTCTTCTGACGTCATAGCATTGACGTGACTATTTCTTTTTTTGATGTCCTGGGTTATTTTGTATATACTCGGAATACTCAGTTGTTCTGAATTAAATTTTTGTGTCATGCTTTGTGTTCTTCTATTTTAAAATGTTAGACGAAGATATGAAAAAAAAAATCCAATGGAAAAATTATCCTATATTGATATGCAATTACCTGATCGTTGAGATGCAGATTTAAGCAATTTAGTTTACACCAGCAGAAATTCTTCTACCTGAATCATCTACCGGAAGTTGAAACAACCTCTTCAAATACTGCCCCCTATCGTGGAGAACATGAAACACAGTCGGAAATAAGATGAATTCGCTTTAAACTTGTGTGTTTTTTAAATCGTGTCATTGTTCAGTTGCTTTCTTAAAAACTTTTTCCCTATTTAGTGACACAGCTTCTGACTGAAAAACTGAGACTAATCATTTGAACAATTTAATTTTGAAACATTATTCGCGATCGCAACGCTCGAGTACGCCCTCTAGGGGATAGGTTATTATCAGTCTTTTATTTATTAAGTTTTCATTTAGTTCTACCAAAATCATTAGCAGAGTAGGGCCCCATTTTTTAAGCAGCAAATAAGAAGCAAAATTTCCTCAAGGAAAAGGCTGAAAAACTTATAAAAACGACCCGGTACATTGGTAAATCTTTCTCAAACAGAACGTGCCTAACATTTGAAGAACAATTTCTCAATAGTTTTTACCTTTCTATTATCAACAACATAACTTCTGATTTCGTGATAGCATGCTGTTACAGATGTGTGTATTACGGTAAAATACATTTTTTGTCTTCAATTCCTTACAAATTGAAGTTACGTCAACATTGCTTACTTCATTCTAATGTATAAACGTGATTTCAGGACGTACAGAGCTGTAATAGTTATAGAATATTCTTCCTCTTCATAGAATAGTACATATTTCTGTATCTATATAATTCGAAAAACAACAACAACAAAAATATTTCGAAACATTTCACGAAAAATTATGAATCCAATTACCGTGCTATAAGAATTTAATTGTTTCGATGAAGACGATTTCATTTACTATGCTAAAAAAATAATAATCAAAATATATTTGATGATGTAAAATAATTTCTGGACGATCTAAATCATTTTACATTCTTTAAAGTAAGATAATACATAAAAATATTTCTATTTCCATAAGTTTGTTTTGACACGACAGATCTAGAACCAACGTAGCATGCAGCCTCAACCGTTGTCTACCCTTACCTAGGGGAAACAGCACTGTTCTAATGACAGTCCATTTTAGGATGTTGAATTAATCTGATACGTAATAGTTAAGTTACTGATCTAGTTCAGTCATGGTTTTCCGAAGCAACTAGCACTTTTCGAAACCTCAAGAGTTTAAGTTTATTCTGCAAGATTAAATTTGGATAATCGAGAAGATTGTATATACAAACGGCTGCAGTCACAATTAACCTAGGGGAGATTAATTCGGAATTTTAAAAATAAAAATAGTTTCAGTATTCTTACATACCCAATGAATGGGAATCAATAGAATGGAATTCCTCATTGGAGAAGAAAATTGCATCTCTTCTGGTGTGTGATGAGGCTCATGAATAGCCCACAATATATTTACCTCTATAAAAAAATGTATAGTTAGTTCACAAACGTAAAATAAAAAAAAATACAATATTTTGTAGAATAAAAATGCATTACGATTATTATTTTATAAAATCTATTTGGAGGTAGACATACATTGTTCATTAATAAAAATTGCTGAAAAATGATTCTTTCCCGAGTTCAAACACCAAAATCTTGTTTGAAAAAAATTATGTAAAAATATTTGTATTCTTCGAAAGTACCGAGCAATTTTTGTGAAATATTAATAAAGAGACAAGTTCCTTGACTCAGAGAAATTTATTTTTTTCTGATATTTGATGCATTTACATTTTTTGATAGTGTATTTGGCCACGAAATTTTCCAAAGAATAAAAAAAAAATATTTAATTTTCAGGAAATTTTTCTATTTTCCTCATTCTACTTATTCTCCCTAAGTATAAGAAAACGGTTACTTAAAATAAATTAGATATCCCCGAAACTTAACTGGAAACTATTCTTTACTAAAAGGTTTTATGTATTTTTTTTTCTTGCCTCAAGAACTAACTTTTATTTCAATGGATACTTCAAAAATTTTATTATTAATTAGTTCGAACTAATGTTTAAGTTATGGAATCAGATGCTAAAATGCACTTTCCTTGAAGCTTTCCCTTTTTCCGGTCCATTTGGAATCTTAATGACTCCTTCAAAGTATGGGAGATAGCCACAATGTTGAAATTATGTTTCAATAGTTTATTTAGAAGAGCTGCCGTCGGCTTGGGTCTCTTTATGTCAATTTAGTTTTTTTCTTTGTTTTCTTTTTTTTTTGCAGTATTGCAGAACACTGCAGTAACGTTTTAGGCGAATCAAAAACTTTTTGTACTTAATTATGAAGCGCGTTTATTCAAAGATAATTCCTCGAGAAAGATGCATTTTAGAAATTATTTCTCATTTTTAATTACTTTGTTTAATATTGATCGAAAAGATATTGAATTGTAAGAATTTCCCATTTAGAACACTTGTTCGCTGTTGAATTTTGTGTTTTTAACTTTATTTTTTAGATTTGCAAGAGAAATTATGTATTCGATCTATTGTGACTCCGACTTAAGCTTTTTTACGTTTCCAAAATCACTAAAATTTAGTGAAGTTGAAAACTTTGATCAGTCGCAAATTTTTTTGTAATGCATTAATCAAAACAATTAAAGGATATTGTAAGTCTAGTATCAAATAGCGGTATAAAAATTTTTTGTGTGCATAAAATGGAAGAAGAGAGTCACAAATGCAATTTTTTCTTCTTTTCAAACTTTACAGTATACAAATTTTTAGTATGATGTCGAACACGATGCCTTAGCGGCAGTGAATTTAATTTGGCTTTCAACTTAACGTAAGACAAATCGGATATGAATGGTAGACATTCAATAAGCGCGTTGTTTCGATTAGTTCGATGCCTCGACGAATTCATTTAACCGAATCAGAAGCTTGGAAAGTTATTGGCCAGTTAGAGGGGGGCCAAACACAAGCCGAAGTAGCAGAAGCCATTGGAGTTCCACAAAGTGTGATTTCCAGGATCTGAAACCGTTTTTTGAAGACTGGAAATGCAGGCCGAAGATCAGGGCAAGGGTGTAAACGTGCAACATTGCCCAACGAAAACCATTATTTAACGCAAACGGCTCTGGGATACCGAAATATGAATGCCACTTTTCTTCAACAGTACCTCCCGTTGGCTACCGGCTCTACAGTTTCGACACAAACTGTCAGAAACCGCCTTCACGCTGTGGATCTGTATGTTACCCGATCAATGATGTGTGTTACGTAAACAGCAAGGCATCGTCGCGCCCGCAGGGAGTGGGCAACAGGGCATGTGAACTGGAAGCGAAATATATGGCGTAATATTCTTTTCTCTGACGAGTGCCATTTTTCTGTTCATCCTGTTCAACGTTTCTGGACGTCCAGGGAAACCATATCCCCCTACTAAAAGCAATTTTCTTTTAAGAAAATATCTTTTATTTTGTTTTTCTCATATACACAAATTGCGTTTTTTTCTCCTTTTATACCCAAATGCCAAATAAAACGCTTTTTTTCTGCCAAACAAATGTCATTTTTATCTAATTTCGCCTACTACTTCTGACGATAATATATCAATTATTCAATCATTTAATTGTTTTGAGCAGTATGTATAATAATTAAAGTAAATATTTATTCCAAAATTCATAATACATGTAATCAATTCATGTATCATTTGAACTTTAAAAATATTCATCCCCCCCGTGCATTTCTTACAAAATATTAATAAGTTTTTTTATTATTTTTGGCTTTCTACTTTTCTGTGTAAATATATTTTCCAAAAGGAAATTTAATCAAAGGGAAACCTATATTAGTGAAACAAAACTTAACTATAATAATTCCCTTATCAAGTTTTTTAAAGGATATATGATACATGTCACACAGTAAAAGAAAAGCTTCAGAAAAAAAAGCATGATTTGTTGGTTTCTTCAAAATGATACAAAATTTCATGAAGAAACCAATAAATATTTTTGTTCGTAGCAAAAATAAATAATTACACTTTAAAAGAGTAATAACAAGTATTGCCCTTCTCATATTATTGTTAATAGATATTGAAAATATTAGTTGATATTAAAGACAAGCTATTATTAATTGATATTAATAATAAGCAGATACAATTTTAGATTACATTGCATATTTAAAAGCATTTTAAAATGTTCCTTCCCCTTATTTTCACCTACTGAAAAGACTGGGAATGGACTATACTGATAAGTATATTTCATCTAAATGGCGAAACATTATTTTATTTATGAAAAAATTATAAAACTACGTCAATGATTTATCGAACACGAACTACATTGTAAATTTAATAATTACCTAACATTTTTAAAGTAAATTGCATAAGACGTGTAATCACCAGTGCATTTTAGTATAAATTTTGGGAGTTATACTTTAAAATAAAAGTTATAAAATTCAAAATCCAAACGATGATAGGCAATACTTTGTGCTGCTCATGAATTAAAATGTGAATAAAGCACAATTAAAGGTACAGAAATGTGCATACTATATAGTCCCCGGCCAAATTTTTAGACACAAAATTAGATTCTATTTAAAATCTTAATTATCAGGTGATACTATACAGATTTATTGTTTTTAAGACGACTGAAACCGGTTTGCAGTTTATGTTCGTGTATCAATTGGTTAACATTGTAATACAGTACGTTAAAAATAAATACAAATAGAAAGTATATAAATATATCTCTTGTATAAAAACCCATTACATGTATGTTTAAATATAAACATATTGCATATAAACTCGTGCAAGACATGTAAATATTAAAGTGCTACAGTGCGTTTAATAATTTGGTCTAATTATTATAATATTCCATTATAATAGCTGATTTAATAAATATTCTATGTTTATATAATATATCGTCTAATTTATCCAATCGTCGAAATTATTTTATAAATCGCCTAATTTGACTAATTGATACACGAACGTAAACAAGTGCAAACCGGTTTCAATCGCGTAAAAACAATAAAGTTGTATAGTATCACCTGATAATTAAGATTTTACATAGAATCTTATTTTGTGTCTAAAAAATAGGCCAGGGACAGTAGTTATGGTTCTTTATACAAAAACGATGTCTGAATACAATAATTTGTGTTAAGACGCTGAGGAAAGTTCTTGCTTATATAATCGAAACCTGTAAATAATAATGGAAACATATAATCATAAACCTGAAAATATGTAATGGAAACCTGAAATAATGCCCATTTCTGTTTAGTTATTCGTGCTATATTCATGCTGTTTTGCTTTATTTAAAATATTGAATTGTGTACATACGGTGTGTCATTCTATGCATCCAATAAAAGCAAAAGTCTGTTGTAATCCAAGCTAACAGCCAAGTCCAGGGTGAATTCCAAGGAAGTTCAATTAATCTGTAGTTATTATAAACCCAAGCATAAACAAACACTTCAGCTCCTTTGAATGGAATTCTAGAAATTAAAATCAGCAAAATTTTGAAGCTTAGCAATTTATTACGTGATTTTATTTATCAGAAATTGACTAATATTTTATTGACAAGCGTTACAAGTTCACTTTTGAATTTACTGTGAAGAATTTGTGCTCTAAAAACAATGATATTTTTAATTAAAAAAAAACAACATAATTTTGAAAATGAAAACCAAAATATACGTAATTTAAACCATTCTTTTCCTTAATTTTTCGCTCATATGGTTATATATTTTTCGTTTCGTAATAAATTCTGGTTTTCGAAATTATAATTCTTATTACTACACATTTAGAAAAATTACGAAACTGAAAAGTAAATTTAACCGAATAAAAATGGTTTTCATACCATGGTCTAAGGCATCATGATAAAATTACCACATTTACCAAATTTTATCACTTACTATTAAATAATGTTTTGTTGTTAATTTTACCAAACTGCTTCGGGAAAAATTACTGAGCTTTTTGGTGTTCCCATAGAGCCAGAAACACTGTAAATTTTACCATATTCTGAAAATTCAGACAATACTTTTTTGACATGGTAAGTGCTATTTAAATAAATTGGGATAAAATAATTTTATTCGATATCCTAATTCAAGGTAACATTTTATTTCCATCTAACACTAATGGTGTTGCAGATAGAGCCAATATTGTCTTCGCCAGAAATAAGTTAGTTGAACTATATTAATTTATGCTAAGCAAAATTCATCTACATTATATTAATGAATTTAGTATTTGTATAAATAAAACGTGTTCTGGTTGTTAACAACACTAAATATTTGCGGGTTTAGTATACTGGTTGAAGGAAAATTTAAACTATCATATCACGACGCCAAATCAGCGGTTATTGTCTTTTTTTCTTGAAATATAAATAAAACGTACTATAACTTGACTCTTGGCCGATTTAAATGGTAATTGGTTTTCATTAATATTTCTTTCGTCAAGTAGTTAACATCTCTTGCACAGACATTACTTAATAAATAAATATTAGAGACAGTTCTTGGCAGATAATAATTATGGAAATCGCCACTTTTATTTTTTACAGATTTCGATTATGAAACAGATAAATAATTTAAATATAAATATGATATAAACAAATTAAAGATTTGCGTGATTTCATTGAATAATTTTATTATTAGTAGACAAGTCATTTTAATAAAAATAAATTCCGAAGCATTCCAGTCCAATCAGTGATAAAATCTTTAGCTGCATTTCTCTAATGTGGTACCGTAAACTCGGATATTTCTTTTATCTAGTGGTAACACTATGATTATTATTCATTTTGTTAGAATATCTGATTGATGAATAATTTAAGTAGTATTAAAAAAATAGCCGTCCTAAGCAATAATTTAAGTATGTTGAACAGTTAGTAAAGTATTTAATTAGAATAATTTTGTATTTTTATGTAAATAAAATCTTAGTAATTATTTAGATTAATTTTGGATGCTCTCTAAAATGACTTCAAAATATTTTAATCATAAAAGGTGCCGCATGCATTGATTTGAGTTTAAAGAAATTTCTTACTTGCTTAAATCCATTAGATAACCATGGAAAACATTTGACATAGTCTCATTGATTCTAAATGTAGGTTTCTTTTGCCAAAATCGCACCATTTGTTCTAGAATAATTGTGACCATGAATATGGGAGCAACCTTTTGAAAATAATAATAATAATTAGACACAATATTACACATTGAAATTCTATTCAAAATCCTTCTTAAAAATGGTTTTCATTTGAATATTTATGAATTCCCATTAGAAATATTTTTAAAAAGCAATTTGAATTTTAGAATTTCCAAGGTAGTATCATAAGCACGGATAATGGGATACCTGAAAGTGTGGGTATCTCGATCCTCATAAATGGTTAAAACGTGGAATTTGCTTAAGTTACAAACTGTTCTTTCCATTCTGTTTCGAATTAACCAAGCCCGTCAAGTATTAGTTCTCTTAAGTGATTCATTCTCTATTCGTATGCAAAGATTCTTTCAAACGATTTCAATTCCTTCTCAATATCTTTCCAACTTAACACAAAGACAGGTATGACGCTACGTAGATCATAAACAAATTGATTATGCGTTGAAATTGCCAGGTACACAAAAAATATATCATGGTTACAATAAAATACATAAAAGAAAAATAATAAATCTAAGTTAAGAAAAAGGCGAAGACGAAAAAGAATTATATTTCAATAAATTTGATGTGCGGAATGGCCCTGTATTTAATAAACTTCACGTTAATAAACATTCTAACTTATGTAGAGAAACTTAGCTCTACTTTAACACGCCATTTTGCTTATAAAAGATCAACTTGCTGATGTCGTCATAGGTCACATGTGTGACTATCCATGATCTTCTTCTTCTGGAGGTACAAGTAACCAATTGTTGTTAAACTAAATAATTATTACGTGTTATATTAAATTTAATAACACGTATAACTATTATTAAACTAATTTATTCACTACATTTTTAAATATGATATAGTTTTTTTCCTTCAAAAAAACTGCAATTTAAATAAAGCAATTCTGATTTTTTACATAACTTTAAAATATTGTGAAAAAATTTAAACAACGTTATATCAAAATTTTGGAAATCATAATGATCTAATTCTGCAGAATTTTTGTGAAAGTAAGAAAAGTATTTAAGTATTGCCAAAAGTATTGTAAGTATTTGTGTGAAAATATTTTATAAGTATTGGCAATTTCCTTATACTTGTATGTAAGAAAAGTTCCTTATACATGTATATACTTGTATGTACTTTAAATATAAGGAATCAAACAATATTCGTTTTAATAATTACATTGGGGAGCAAATTCTTTGCATTTATATAAATACTTGACGTTGCCTAATTCTGGTGTTGTGATTTCTAATCTGAAATTAGTTTTGCATATAAAACTACAGATTTTTTAAAATGACATTTTTAGTCATCATGCACAAGTTTTAAAACATTATACATAAAAGGAGGTCGTGTAAAAGTTGCGACAAACCTCTAGGGGAGATGGATCACATCATCAGGATTAAAATGCTAGGAACCAATGCCCTCGAATGAAATGTCATCTTATGCAGCTAGGAGCGTTTTCCCATTAAGATCTGCGCAAAAAGCACAAAAATAGAGTAGTGCCCTAGAGGCGTATGACGACATTACGAGGCATAAGTTCCTGTGCCGTTTTAATGTTGATGATATACTCTAACTCCTCCAGAAGTTTATCAGAACATTCATGCCACTCCCTGTTGAATATAGTGTTTTCAAACTTGTACATTTCGACAAAAATAAGTTAAAAATGACTCACTTAATTAAAAAAAAATGTAGCTTGGAGAGAGAAACAAATTTCAGATTTGAAATCAGCAATACGAAAGTGTCTCAAATTTTTTAATAAATTGTTCCCCAATGTAATTAAACTTCATTTAGTTATATATTTATAATAAAATAGTTTTAATGTTCTTAGCCTACATTTTCTCGTTCTTATTTTACTGAGTAACGCATTTGGCATTGAAACTCGAAGTCGGATAAAAATTGTATTTTATTTTAAGTGATTAAGAACGATATATTTAACACTAATTTTGAAGAAAAAAAAGCCACAAATTTATTACCTTCCTTAATGTTTCCATGTAAATTTTCACTAATATTCATAGCTTTTTTTCCGAGTTAGCAAGCTCTCATGAGCAATTATCTAATCGTAGAGTTTCTTTTTAAGGATAAATAGTCAAAAATATCGCATATAAATTTTCATAACTTGAAAATCATAACAGAGGATCGGTTAGTCTCAAGTTTTTAAAAAAAATATATAATGTTTGATAGATGAAAAAGGAACACAATTCTTTGAGTAAACAATTGTATTGAACTGAATTTTTCAAAATTCTTTTTGAATAAAATGTGATACTATAAAAATCTTTTTGAGTTATTTATTTTTGTAATTTAGATCAGACAAGAAATTTTCTTTCACCTTTTATTATTCAAGTAATCAAAAAAAAATGTTAAAAGACATAGGTTATTAACAGAGTGTCGGTACTTTTTAATGTAAAATCCATTTTTACAGGAATATGTTACGGAATAAAAAGTGAGATAAACCGTGATTTTTACAATAACAATTATCGTTAAATCACTGAATCACTCTAATTTAATAAATATTACTCTAAGGTTTACGGAATAATATTTTACGATCGAAATGGATTTTACTCATGATACATCCAAAGTGCCGGTACTTTATACCGTAATTTGATCAGAAATTTTCTGATCAAATTTTCTGATCAGAAATTTTCTGATCAAATGACTGCTTTGAGATACTAGTAAAAAACAAAAGTAATATTATTAAACTATATGGTGTACTATTTAATCTTTTTAATACATTTCCACCTGAGGAATTTTTTTTTCTCCAACTGTTGAACATAAGTCTTCTTGTCACCTTTAAATAGTAGCACTCATGAGGAAGAACATTCAAATCATCTTTAGATGGTAAGAAATAACTAAGATATGGAATAAAACCAAATATTCTCATAGCATCAAATCATAAACTCATTTTTACAAGATGCTATGCTTTCTTTGTCGCGAAAATTTTTTGAAAACCAAAAATGGAACTTCCATGATCATTTTGCTCCATCACACGAAGTTAAAATCACTTAATCTAAAAGGTACAATATGGATGAATCATCCGTAAAATCTATTTTACTGTAGCGTACAGTAGTTTCATAGTAATATTTATTTAATTAGAGTGATTCAGTGATTTTACGGTAGTTATTACTGTAAAAATTGCGGTATGTCAGAGTTTTAGTTCCGGTAAAAATGGATTTTATGGTAAAAAGTACCGGCACCCGGTGCCGGTACTTCTTAACGTGATTTGATCCGGAATTTTTTACAGCGCACTGCTGACAATTTGTAATCCAAAATGGTAATCCTATGCCAAACTAAATGGTAAGGATTGTTTCCCCATTGGTTCTTCTAGAGACAATTTTTTGTACGCCTGCGACAGAAAATTTTTTGAAGCGTACACTGAGGTAAAAATCAAAAATGGTCTCCTTGAAAATTTGTAAATAATTTAGAAAAAGTAATGTTTTGACATTTATTTGAAAATACAATCGTGATATTTTAATTAACAAGCTAGTAGTGTAAGTCTGTTCAAGTTATTTTATGTCACCTTTCATTACTAAATTATGTCCCCGAACATAAAAACAACAAAATTTAAATAGTTCTTTTCAGGAAAATCAACAAATAAATTTTTTAAAGTGCGTAGTTAAAGAATTAAATTATTTCTACACGCACTTACAATTCCATAGCCATAATTATTCTACGGAAAGAAAATGCCTCATCAAATAAAACCAAAATTTAATGATTGACAGACAAACATGAATGTCTAGTGTATTCGCAATGAATAGTTATTTGTGAGTAATCTCACACTATTATTAATATATACCATAAAATTTTATAATATTGCATAATACTATTATAATCATTTAAGCTAATTGCATGTGACATTGCTAATCATTGGAGGATATCCTTGAAACACCGCTTCCTTTGAAATGGAAGAGAAAGAAGAAATAGTTTTACTGAATCACGTAATTCATGTTGTTAATATTCACACCACGATAACAGGAAAATAGTTATTCTTGGGGGCAATTGGAGTTTAACCATTTATTTCGAAATCAATGATGAGAAAAGGAGCTTTGTGTGTTGCGATTTTTTGTGAGTGATTTATTGTTTAGAATCATTTGAAAGAAATGGAGTGTTACAGAGTTACAAATTAGTAACCTTGATTTTTTTTAATTAAAAATATTAAGAGACTGTTTGTTAGGTCTATAGTCAAATGCTTCCCGTTTCTGTTTTAAGAAGGAATTTTTATTAATTGTAGATTCATAAAATTACTTTATTGAATACTTTTAAATATTTCGCTTATTGAACAGCTAATTGATTCTTAAATATTTTGCTAATTGAATTCAGTTATTCTATCTGTCGCATTCTCGAATAAGGCAAATAGATAAACTGTCTATCTGCTAATTTATCGGATTAGCTGATAGAAACTAAAATCTCCTTCTGTCAATTGAGACAGATAGTTCCGAATAAGTTAAAAGTTTTGGAAAATTAACTATGAAATTGAAATTTACAAATCTACTTACTTAGACAATATAATTTATCGGCTCATAGAAACACACAGTTTCCAAATGAGTTAAGAATTTTGAGGAAAATCAACTATGCAATTAAAATTTACAAATTATTTAGACAGTATAACCTATCTGTTAATCGAGACAGACAGTTTCCGACTAAGTTAAAAGTCTTGGAAAATTAACTATGAAATTTAAATTTATAAAATACTTATTTACATAGTATAATCTATCTGTTAATCGAGACAGACAGTTTCCGAATAAGTTGAAAGTCTTGGAAAATTAACTATGAAATTGAAATTCATAAAATACTTACTTAGACAGTATAATCTTTCTGTTAATCGAGACAGATAGTTTCCTACTAAGTTAAAAGTCTGGAAAATTAACTATGAAATTTAAATTTATAAAATACTTATTTACACAGTATAATCTATCTATTAATCGAGACAGACAGTTTCCGACTAAGTTGAAAGTCTTGGAAAATTAACTATGAAATTTAAATTTATAAAATGCTTATTTACACAGTATAACCTATCTGTTAATCGAGACAGACAGTTTCCGAC